ATACGTATGAATGTTGGAAGTTTACTACAAAAATAATAAACAATCGCAACAAACAAATATGCAAGTAGATATCTTCGTTTAAAGTACAAAACCGCGTATCGTCATTCTGCAAAACCGCGTAACTGCTTAGATTTGCTCACAAAAGCTCAATCCTTATCCATTCGTACTGAAATATACTAGCCAGAAATGCGATTACTTTATAAAAAAAAATATAACAATTTTGAAATATGAGTGTTTTTACTATCTAGAGAATAATTTATGCAACCTCACATACAATGTTTTGCATTATCTTGATACGCGGTTTTGTACTTTAAACGAGGATATGAATGTATGTATGTATATAGGTGTGTGTGTCAACCCACTCAAATCGTCGCTGGGCCGGCATATGTATAAATAGCACAGCAAGCCTTTGCCACTACGTATGTAGCTACTAGTGAAAGCGGCAATTCCTCTCAAAGTGCAGCCCGCATTGGATATGCCTTCTGCTCGTACTACACTGCGTCCATACGAATGAACATTGATACGTTTGCTTAAATGGCAGAGTTGGCGTTGTAGTTGATGTTCGATGGTAAAGCCAGACGTTGTAAACGGCCATTGGGGGCCCGCGCGCTTGGCTAGCATCGAAGCTCGCCTGGCTGTCTCTAAAGTGTTTGCGATTAATGGCCAAATGGTAAGTGGCAAATGGAGTTGAGTCGGTTGCAATGCCATTACGTTCACGACCCTTTGCAATGTGCCTCTTTCCCTGTTCTCCAACGTTGTTGGCAATAGCCATTGTTTTGGTTAGCTTGATGTCGATGTTGTTTGTTTACTTGTTGTTTGTGGTGTTCAGAGGCTGTTGTTGCTATTACTGTTGTGGTGTACTATTGTACAGGGACATATAAAAATGCTGTTTTATTTTTTTTATTCGCCCCTTTGTTTGTGCTTTAATGCACAAAGGTCAGACGCGCCAAAATGCATTTGTTCCATGGAAATAAGAGACAATGGCATAAACAACAAAATGGCTACCCAAAACGCAATGCAGTCAACGGTTTATATCTGACATCTTGGTTTGTTTTATTTTTAGTCGCCATTTCGTTTCAGTTATTTACTTCCGGTTTGTTTTTGTCGCGTTTTGTTTGCCTTCGAAATGACGTTTGTTAAATGGTATCCGGGGGTAATAAAATTTGAGTTACTTGTGTCCATCGCTTAGAGCTATTTACGTGTTACATTTTACAGTTTTTGCATTCACATTCAGCGTGTGAAAGTGCATTCGTGTAAAATGAGGTAAATATTAATATGTATATTTGTACATATAGTATTTGTACTTGTACAAATTTACATATGTACTTGCATAGTATTGTTCCTCACTAAGATCGTTTTTCGGGTTGGTCGGATACGAAAAAACTTCACCAATTTCTCTTCTGTTTGTGGACGTCCTTGCTTTCTTTGTCCACCCATGGAGGACGAGGCGTAGGATACCCTTTTCCCACGCAAACAACACCAAAGTTCCTGCTTAGAACTGTTCCTAGAATTCGCCAAAAGCCTTCTCACATTGGTTCGATATCATTCCCTTTTCTGCGCCATATAAAAGGACTGATATTATGAGAAATTGGTAGAGCGTGACCTTTCTTCGTCCTGAGATGGTTCTGCTCGTCAATTACCTACCGAGGCCAAAGTATCACCTTTTGGCAAGAGTTATTCTTCGTTTGATATCCAAGGTAACGTTGTTTTAAGTGTTAATGCTGGATCCTAAGAATACAATGTCCTTCACTACATCAAAGTAATAACAGAGAAGTTGTCCGATGACTAGTTTTGTATTGCCAGCTAGTTCTTTGTCTTGTCCTCATTTAACACCAGATAAACTTCTTTTGCCCCCTTAGCTACGTTAAAAAGTAAGCGGCCTTGTTTAAAGCATCGATTGGTCTCGAACGATGCGAAGAAAATCCTTAATACTTATACAGTACATATGTACATAATTGACACTATAACCGCCGAAGCGATTTGAGCTAACTGATGCCAAGTGGAAATTCCACGTGACCCCAAGTCCTTCTCCACTTGGTGTTTTCATCGCAGAGAAGGCCTTCCCCTTCCAGAGCAGGAACGTTACTGTTCATTCGTATTATTCATTGTAAAGCTCCAAGAAGCGCATTGTCAGATGTGATTTTCCTTCGTCGGGAGGGAATCTCATACCTCGTTTCGAGGATGATTTTACTGTTGGTGTTATTGCTGGTTCCCAAATAAACGGTATTTGTTTTTTTTTCGAAATTATAGCAGTCAACAGTGACGTGAGTGCCGGGATCTTTCTTCATTCACCACCAGACCCACGCACTTTGCTTCTCGACGTAATTCCGAGAATGCGGAATAGACGTAGCCTTTGTTATTACCGATGATGTCAATGTCGTTGAATTCTGCGGCTCTGATTATATTTTCCATTATCAGGTTAAAGAAATCACACAAAAAGAATTCTTAGTATCAAACGGCTCAGAGAGGTCCTTCCAAATTCTAACGGAACTGGTGGTATTGCTCAACGTCATTCTACACAACCGAACTAGTTTCGTGGGAATACCAAATTCGGTCAACGCGGCACAAAGGCAACTTACGTTCGTGCTGTCGAAAGCGACTTTGAAGTCGACAAATACATAGATGGTGTGCGCACAGATAAGGGTGGTCCAAAAAAATGTTTAAGATGTTAAGCTCTCACCCCTAGAACTTTTCTAAATGAAAAAAAAGAATACATACCCGTATTTTTTGTTTAAAAAAATTATATTTAGAACAGCCTCAAAGCCCATGTAAATTTCCACGGGGAAAAAATACTTTAACGTAGAAACGGTTTAAATTCTTAAAAATCAATAGTTATTGATCGGAAAGCTCTGTTTATCTTTTTATCTTCAGGAGACTTCCAATAATAATACCCAACTGATTATTTCTATTCTCTTCTATTTAAATATCCTCATAAAAAATTACTTTCAATACACTTTTTCCGCACTTCGCAGATTCTTTTTGTACTCAGGACAAATAAAATAAGGATCGAAATTTGATATTATCATTTTAATCAAATTCAAATATGAGACCGCCTACAAAAGAACAAGTAAACAAATAAGCAAATATGTAATATTAAATAAACCAAATAAGTAAATAAATAAAAATTGAAAAAATATTTTTTTTTTATAATTTATGTCAGAGGAAACCGATTCTCACTATTTTGCGGTCATCGCCCTTCAAAAGTAGTTAGTTACGGTCAAAGGAAATAGTTAATCAATAGTTACCACTAGTCGACTGCTAATTAGTTAACAGTTAGCTACAAGCTAATCCCATTTCCTGCAGCGTATTGATTTTCAAGAATTCCATACCATTTCTACGAAAAGTTGGTTTCCCCATATAAATTACATGGAAAACTTTGAGCGCTTTCAGCGACCTCTAAATATTTTTTGATTTCAAAATAAAAAAAATTTGAGTATATTTTTTTCGATATAGAACAATCCTAGGGCGTGAGAGCATTGAAATTCCGACTTCACTTAGTATTAACTTATAGTTGGATACATTTCCTGCAGAGTTATTAAATATTTTTGTTAACCTACGAAGTTACATACGTTTATAGTTTATTAAACGACAATCGACATTAAATAAAATAGTTGTATACTTTGAGGAGTAGAAGCACGCAAAATGTGGAACAAATGTGGTAGTAGCGGATAGCGCTCACACATACTAATGTATATGTATGTAAATGTATGTTTGTACCCAACAAGCATTTCAGTAAATGTTTTTAAAAATAACATAAAGAAAGTTTTCTATAAGCGTTTTTAATATTAATTTTATTTCAAGTATTTTCACATAAACATTTAAACCGCGATAGGTTGAACATGAAATGCAATTGCTAACGACAATATGTAATATGTATAAAATTTTTTCAATTGTAAGAGACGTCTTTACGTTCTTTAAAATATATTATAACTATACTTATTAAAAGAAGAAATAAAATAAAATCATTGCGCTAAAAATAGACAGAAATTTCGCGTTTAAAAGTGAAAAATACATGGTAAAGAAATTACAAATTTGCTTATTAAAAGTGAAATCCACGGAGAACAGAATGAACATAATGTTAAATCCGATCCAGGACCCGCTGCGCTAATCGGTGAAACATTCGAGTATCCATCGAAGTCGTTTTTCCAAAAAAATCAAATGCACTCACATCCATACATAGTCGCGAATAGAGCCAGCAAAAAATCTGAAAACCGAAAAAGGAATAAAAAAAATCATGAAGTGCGGATTTTTGTCCGTTTACCGATTCAATTTTCGGATGCTTTGGCGATCCGTTTTCCCACTAAAGTGTGCGGCAGGAACGTATGTACAGACAACTACCGAAAATTGTTTGTGAAACCGATACTTTTTCAGATGTTTTTTCTGAAATTTGTCTGATTGAATTTTTCGTTCAATACGCTTTCCTTCCGCACTTCACAGATTCTTTTTCATGGTTAAAAAATAAAAAATAAAATTAGGAAGCGCCTGACGGAATTCGAATCCGGGACCTTGAGGAAGCTGCACGCTCAGCCACTGCCGAACGCATGCATGCTTTCAAATGATTAGCTTGAGCAAATAATATACAATTATTGCTTTCAAATAATATCATCTTTTTCGAACGCTTCGAACGTTTTCCGGTTACGAAAATGAATGATAACTGTAATCGTTTTCTATTCGTTTCCGGATACGAAAAATTTTACTAGACTGCACTGTCGGATAAAATTTACGTTTCTTTGCTGGCTGGGTATACACGTGCACATACCTATGTATATTTTACCTATTTACCTTACGCTATTTATAAATACTCAATGTAAATGCATCCTGCGCCAAACATAAAAACGAATCCACTACCACACACACTACTGTATGTGAATTTTTAAATCTCGCATCGTCAACTAGTTTAAGTACAAATAAGAAATCAATCAATAACTATAACGCGCCTAAATAGTATACATGTACATACAGATTTAATCTAAATAAAAGTATAAAGCGTACATATTTACCTTAACGTTTCTATGGCTTTAAATATCACCTTTAATATGCAGGCTTTCACGATTTTGTTTAATCACTTTTTCAAAATATGTACATAGATATGTGATTGCACTTTTTCCCTGCAGTTTATTTACATAAAAGAAAAGTTACACAAAATTGCACGCCAATATGTTCTAATAAAGTTTCAACACTGGCGTTGTATGTACATACATATTACGTCTTTGCCACATTCACAACACACCCAATTTGCCATTTAATAATCGCAAGTAAACACCTTTGATTTTACCCACTAACAAATAACTTATATTTTATTATATACTTTTTATTTAAACATTTATTTCTATTTTTTTACATAATTTCGATTAGCATAAAACACAATGAAAAACGAATACATTTGTATTTGCCACTGTATTGCATTTAAAGCGTAATTCTAAATTTACAAACAAAAAAACTTGATTTTTTGCGCTTGCTGACTATTTGCTTCTAGATTTATGCATGAACAAAACATAGAACACAGCCATTTGCCACAAAGGACTTGCTCTTTCTGAACGCAACGAAACAAACGCGAAGCTTATGTGCGCGAATTGCGCTGACATAAAATCTGCAAAGTTTTAAGACTTTGGTCTTCTTCGTATTTTCTCTCGAAAGGTTAAATGTATGAGTAAAAGCACTTTGCTATTGTGAAGTACGGAGAAGCGAGAATTGCAGGGGATGGTAAATGTGGTGATGTTAGCGTTTGAGCTTGTAGTCCTTGCAATCTCTCTTGGCTAGCGCTCTTCTTTTTTTCCACCCCTCCTCGGTTGTGCTCTCTCGTGCTGCTTGATTTATCATGGCAGTAAAATATGCTCAGGAATTTACAAATTCTGAACTGTATAAAGTTTTCCAACGCCAGAAAGCCGAGAGCGTGAATAAATATTATTTGAAGACATGGTACAATAATTATTGTACCATGATTTGAAGACACAAGTGTGTATTCCAGTCACTGCTTTTACTTTCACTTTTAAAAATACAATTTTCTTTTCAAATGCAAAATTGTAACTTGTGTAAACTAAATACTTATTTATCATAAACAAATGCAATTCGGAATTGTTAAAAACATAATAGAAATAACAAAAAAAAATATATATTTGATGCAATGATTTAAAGAAATAAAGGAAATTCTGCCGCAGCGCTCCTCTTAAATGCAATAAATTTCAGTTGAACGTCAGCTATCCAAATAAATGTACATAGAACAGTCTTTATATGCAAAGGGCTCAACAAAATAATAAATTAAACGAAAATGTATGTTTGTTACCCTTCTGTTTCAACGTTTTTACAATGCTACTTTCAAAGCCTAAAAAAATCGTTTAACATAAGAAACAGTATACAGATCAGGGACGTGAACCGGTTTTGAACCGGAAAACCGCTTTTTTCTATTAATTAACTGAACCATTAACCGAACCGAAATTTTCCACAAATGTTAGGTCCGAACCGAAAACCGAACCACTTTCTTTAAAGGTTTAAAGGTTCGTTTCAACCAATTTTCAATATATAAATGTACCCACTTTTTTTCTTTTTGTTGGTAATACCTGCCATGTTTTTTTACCATGTGACAATATCAAATGTAAAGGCAGCCCATCTCACTTGACCCTTAACCTTGCGCGTTGTTGCAGTTGACAATTAACACTTAAATGTGCGCGTTATTTTTTTATTTTTCGAACCGTTGAACCGAACCGAAACCCTGGTTCAAAGACCAAAAAAAACCGCTTTGACGAACCAATCCAAAAGTGCAACAACGGTTCGAACCGCTGAACCGAACCGACCATATTTTTCATCCGGTTCACGTCCCTGATACAGATACAAAGAAACAAATTTTTAGTACATATAAAATTTAAGAGTAACAATGTCGTATTAGCGTTATGTTTTATTTTAATAGAAAAGCCATTTATTTCTTCTTAACACGTAAATCGATGGCTTCATCTCCTTCGAATTCGAAGTCTTCTGGTGTTTCATTAAAACCTAAGTGATCGCCATTGAAACTAAATACAAAGTGCATATGTTAAAGTCATGTAATTGGGCTGCATATATTAAAAATTTTTAAATACCTCAATACGAGGTCCTCTGCCGGCATTTTTAACTCTTCAGCACATTTAATATATAAAATTTTTAATTTATCCGTTTTGTTGAGCTCAACTTTTAGAGGTTTCTTTGGCCATAAATCTGATTGAATTTTCAGCGTTATTATATTAGCATCACGTTTCTTTCGCACTGTGCCAACATCAAATAAGTCTGTCAGAACACGACCACCTGTTAAGGGAGAAAATATCAGATTAACAGTCTTCCACAAAGTAATAGGAGTACGATATTTTGACCAGTTTTCACTCTTTTGCTCTTGTTTGTTCTGCAATTCACTTCCTAGTGAGCTTCAACGTCATTAAAATTGAATGCTTGAAATTCACTTGGAAGTGGATTGCAGAATTTGCCTGAATACAGTGCAAGTTTGAAGTTGGTAAAAAATCGCGTTGATGCGTTGATCGCACATACTTGATGACAGTACGAATGGGAATTGCTTTAAACGTCCATTCTTATAGTAACCTGATGACAGTACGAATGGAAATTTTAATTGCGAGGTTTTAGTTTTTAAACTATAATTTTATTTCTTTGGTGCCAGTGCTAGGCATTTTCTTCCACATAAAAAATTTTCGAGCATACTTTGTATGGAAGAAAATTCACAATATTTTGTAACTTGAAACCTGCACTTTATTGCAATCGGCTATAAAACTACATACCTATGTTTGTAAAAATACTGAATAAAAAGTTTGTAATTTTGCCGAAAATTTTTGGAATTTTTTTACAAGTTTGGAATTTGGATTGATGTGGTTTTTGTTAGATTAGTCATAGTCTTACAAAATATTAATTTAATGCTTATTAAGAACACAAGAAAAATAGTCAATTAATCACTTTTCATTGTCATGTACTTACTAATGAATTCGTAAACCTTATAGTTAATACTGGCAGGTGTATCACTGGGCGAAATAATACGGTTATCAATATTAAAAATTATGTTATCAATCGGAGTATTTTCACGGTTAGCAATTTCAGTAAATATACTCTGAAACTTTTGATGTTTACGAAGCTGAAATATTTCGGGGTTTCCGCCATCCCATTTAATCTTTACTGATGTCTCTGGATTATCTTCATCGAAAGAACATTCCAATGTGGTAGCAATGGATGTATTTGGTGTTTCTATCCCAGTGATTTCAATACTATTACTGGATTTGCTCTCTTCCCCATCAGAGTCGACAGTTACCTGTTGTGATAAAATTTACTTCATGTTATGCATGATTATAATTTCTAAGTGGTTAAGATCTTGCTTACAACACCCTCGATACGGGGCAGTGGACTCGATACCAAATCGACATAGTCGACGTTAGTTGAGCGAGCAGCAATTTCAGCGAAATATGCGCGTTGAGCACGCATTACGTTGCGTCTTGCCTGCCAATGATAGCAATTATAAAACGTATTTATTAAAGTAATCCACAAGCACCACTCACCCGCCCGCTCATCATAGCAGCAAATACACCAAGAGAGTCTGCAAGTGACATAGTCATAGCATTTTCAACTGCTGATCTATTCATAGCCCCTCTGTTTGCACCGCGGCGTCCTCTTCTCCCTCTAGCCGAGCCTCTAGCCGAGGCATTATTTTCCGTTGGAATAGAGCTTGGTGTTACTTGAGATGTCCCCGCTGCGCTACTGCGTGTACGTCTGCGACTAGCCGAGGGAAGGTCATCTATATGTGTTGCTTGTTCCCTACCTGCTTGCTGCAGTGAATTTTCATCCGTCTGTTCATGCGAGTCTTTTGCCTTCTTTGGAGGTGAAACCGCTTTCGGAAGCGTATCTTCCTTCTTTGCATCTGGCTTCGTTTTTTTACTACGTCCTTTTCCCTTGCTCTGTAAACTTGGTGGTAGCAAATCTTCATCGTCAGAGCTACCATTATTTAGCAAATCAGTCTT